GCTGTGTGGTCAGAGGCAGTCACAGCCATTCCATGGTGACATCCCAGGGGACCTTGGGCTGCAAAGGCACCGATCTGTCACAGGCACTCACGGGGCTCCACGATGACATCCCAGGAGTCCCCAGGCTGCCAAAGAGCCGGGATGTCCCAGACACTCACAGGGGTTCCTGTCATGGGCACAGTGGGAGCATCAGGCAAAAGCTTTATTTCTTTATTGGAGAAACTCCTGCTGAGACCTGAGATGCAGAAAGTACACCCAACAGCCACCATGGATCCTCAAACCCTTGCAGGGCTCCTAGACTGCTAAAATTTCTTCTAAGAGAGGAGACTTGGAACAGCTGGATCCAATCCCAGCCCAAGAATTTGTCAAAGGTTTATGTGTAAAAGATTGGACAGGTGGAATTGAACTTTAACCCAATTTGTCCCACAGGATTAATGATGGAATACCAGATATATTTATATAAATACAGCTCTGATTGATTCTGATCATGACCGGACAGAAAGATTTTAACTCAAGGTATTTACTCCACAGTTCAGGAGCTTTATCAATTATTAGAATATAGTGCTCTAGGAAGCAATTTTGAAGTCAACAGATTGGTCTATGACATCAGAGAGTTTGTTGTGGAAGTCACTGAGCAGCTACAGCATCATAGAGGGGATTCTGTGACATCACAGATCAGGCTGTGGCACCATGGCATGGCTGGATGACATCATAGAGCTGGCTGTGAGGTTCAAAGTATGTGCTGTGACATTAAAGAGTGCCAGTATGACATCACAGAAAAGGTCTCGTGGCATCACTGAGGGTTTTGTGACGTCACAAAGCTGTCTGTGACATCATAGTGTGAGGCAATAGAGCAGACTCTGCCATCATCGAGGGTGGCTCTGTGACATCAGAGAGTGGGTTGTGACATCACTGGGTGACTGTGTAACATCATAGAGCTGGTTGTGACATCACAGAGACTTTTGTGACATCACAGAGCAGATGTAGCACATCATAGGGTGACATCTCATAGTTAGCTGTGTGAGATCACAGGGGCTTTGTGACAACCCAGAGTGGCCTGTGACATCACTGGTGGCTGTGTGACATTGCAAAAGAGCTGTGTGGCATCATAGGGGCTGTGACATCACAGGGGCAGTGTGACATCACAGGGGCAGTGTGAGGTCACTGGGGAGGTCACTCTGCCCCAGCCCTCCTCACAGCTCCTCCCAAAGCAGTCCAACCCTGCTCGTGCACAGTGGAGTTCCCTGTCCCCCCATGTCCCCTTGCCCCCGGCCCCGCAGCCTCCCTCAGAGGATGTTCCACGAGATCGACCCCAGAGTCTGACATGGGGATGGGGGGCTGGGGCCTTGGCGGTGGCACAGGGGGACAGGGACCCCCCGGCAGCGTCCCCGTGTGCCCCAGGGCCAGAGCCTGGGCCAGGGCTCCTTCACCCTGTTACCAACGAGGGCTTGAGAGCACTGAAAAATCCCTGGCAAGGGAGCAGCAAAAACCAGATTTAATATTAAGGTGCAGCAGCACAAAGTTCCTTGGCAAGAGTCACTCTGCTCCTGAGTGGACACTTCAAGCACACCAAAGAAACCAAGCAGCAACAAAACCAAACAGAATCCAGGCAATCAAACAGAAATGAGCTGAGAACTGTCCCAGTGTGTGTGAGACACAAGGACAGTGAGGGCAAGGATAAAATGAATAAAGAAATAAAAGCTTGACAGAGGTCAAACTTAACAGGACTTCACTGATACCTTAACCTTAACTGATACCTTCAACTTCACAATTTAGGAAAAGAACAGAGCTTAACAGCATTTAACCTCACTTACAACCAATGACTTAAGGATTTAATAGTGGAATAACATTAAACAATATTAAACTTAGCTTATAACATAGTAAACTTTGCAAAAAAAGAAATTCTTAATACCCTTTAACTTAACTTATTTGTCATGATGTAACCTTAATTACAGGCCTGACTGACTCAGCTGTCCAAGGCACTCAAGCCCCTCAGAAAGCAGCATTTCTGCCACATTTCTCCAGCACAGGCACTCCTGTGTGCACACAGACACAAAGAGTCAGTGCAAGGCACCTGTAAGCAATTCCCCTGAGGGCAGGGAATGCTCCCTGTGGATTTTTTGGCATCTCCTCAGCAAAGGGCAAAGGACTGAGCCTGGAGGAGTGGGGAGATTGGCCCAGGCTCTGTCGTTGTTCAGGATCCCCGAGTGCAGCAAACGGGAGAGTTCCCGGCTGGGAGAGGCCCCACTCAGAGGGAGTCGCTGGCCCAGGAGAGCTCCAAGGGCTCCTTTTGGAGCGCTGTTTGTAGGGCCCCAAGAGAGGGGCTTCAGTCCCAGCAATGGTTCATCCTGGCCGCACTTGGCACCAACAGCTTTCTTTGGCAGTGTGAGAACAGGGATGTTGTGCCACTGAGGGAACAAAAACAGTTCCCAGGCTGCTCCTAAAGGAACCAGGAGCTGGCTGGGCAGCAGCAGTGCCTGGAGCAGACAGTGTTTGTGATGAGCTGCAGAGCAGCTGAGCCCAGGGGCTGTTGGCCAAGGCCGAGGCCCAAGGAGCATTTCTCAGCTGTCAGGGCGACCTGAGAAGGGGAGGGGGGAATGCAGCAGCACAGGGCCCATGAAACCAAGGGACCATTGTGACACTGTAGGGTCCTGTGACACCAAGGGACCACTGTGACACTGTGGGGCCTCATGGAATCATGGAGAGCACTGTGACATTGCTGGGCCTAATGGAACCAAGGGGATCGTGCTGACTCTGTGTGGCTCCATGGAATGTAGGGATCATTCTGATACAGCAAGACCCCATGGAGCCAAAGGTCCATTGTGACATTGCAAGTCCTTATGTAATCATGGAGAGGCCATTGTGACACTTCACAGCCTCATGGAACGCAGGGGCCATTGTGACACTGTGGGGCACCATGGAGCCAAGAAGATCATTGTTACACTGAGGGGACTCATGGAATCATGGTGTGAAGGTCCGCCCGAAATGAACGGGTGACGAATGATTTTTGGGTGCAAAAATAACCAACAAAGGCACAGGGGTTTTGCAGTAACAAATCAACAAGGTGCAATTTTATTGATTATAACCACAGCTAAATATGCATTAGGTTAAGGGATCCGGGGAAGAGAAGGGTAAGACAAGGAAAAAAGGGAGGAAAGAAGGTCAGGGAATGGGGTATAGCTACCAAAACGTGAGGTCTTTGGGGTCCTGCCGCCGAAACTCGCTGGTACATGTCTTGGGGAGTACTCAAAGGACAGTCGGACCGAACCCCAATATATATCTTAGCTGGGGGAAGGGTAGCTGAAATTAGGTTTCTATGGAGGGGAGAAGTCCATTGTTTTCATGGCCGAATGCTCACAGGTACGTTAGGTTTTTCCCCCTCCCTGAGTTGGGAGGGGGTACAGTCCCAGTCTCTGGAAGGAGGTTGCCATGGGGGTGCCATGAGGGTGCCATGGGGGTGCCAATAGGGTGCCAGAGGGGTTCTTGGTTCCTTGATGAGGGGATTCGCATCTCTGTTGGTCCATCATGGTGGTTGAAGACAGGCAAGAGGGGTGTTCTCATGGAGCGGGGGGGGAGCCACCCCAGAGCTCAGTCCAGCCAGATCAGGAGTTTGGAAGAAAGTCCAGTTCAATTGTCCAGAAAAGGGCAGCATGCCCCCTTCGAGTACAGCATGGCATGTTCTGCAAACATCACTTGTGAGCACACTAGATAAGCAGGAGACTTTCTTTCCCAACTGGCTCAGCAGTTTTAACCCTTCGGTAGTTCTCATGACAATTGTGAGGCAAAAAATGAAGGATTTTCAGATGGACTTCTACAGACACCAGCTCAGGCCTGCAGCCACAGCCCGTTGCCAGGGCAACCATTGGCAGCCCCATCCCCAGGCTCATGGGATCCCAGAACCACAGAATTGGCTGAGCTGGGAGGGACCCATCAGGATCCTCCAGTCCAGCTGCTGGCCCTGCACAGGACACCCCAACAATGCCAGCCTGGGCCTGGCAGCGCTGTCCAAACGCTGCTGCAGCTCAGAGAGCCCTGGAGCTGGGACCCTTCCCTGGGGAGCCTGGGCAGGGCCCCAGCAGCCTCTGGGCAAAAACCTTTTCCTGACATCCAACCTGAGCCTGCCCCGACTCAGCTGCAGCCGTTCCCTCCACTCCTGTCCCTGGGCACCAGAGGGAAGAGGTTCCCACAGCCCCAGACAGGGACCCGCTCCCAAGGCTGTTGCCATGGCCACAAGGGCTGGGACCAGCTGGGATGCTCGGTTTCCATGGACAGGGGTGCAGGAATGGGATTCCCCAATTTCCTGTTCCCCTCAAAACCGTGCTGCCCTCACTGCCCTCCCGCCTCCCATGGAAAGCACAGAAGGCAAAGGTCTGGTCTGGGACAAGAACAATTTATTAGGAACAGGAACAAGATAAGGGACAAACAGAACTGAAACAATATTGATAACAGAAGGGATAAATGAAACAGTTTACTGGGAAAACTAAAACACAACTCACTGGGTCTTCCTGGCCACAATTTCCCCTGTTTGGAAAGGACACCCTTCTTCTCAGGGAGAGAGAGAGAGAGTGTCCTTTTATGAACCTGGGAATTCTCTGAGGTGCGAGAGAATGTAATGACACAGCCATGGCAAGACCCTCATGTTTTTCAATGCCACATCATGATACTGGTAGGGGCAGGAAACGGGACAGGTGTCTTCCCAGCATGGATCATGGGGAACATGGATCACCAGGGATCTTCCCAATGCGGGATCTCCCATGGGGGATGAAGCTGGAGTGGTACATAAAGCTGTTCCTGCATTTGTGGCATTTGCAGGGCTTCCCTTACTGGTGGCTCCATTGGTGTCTGGCCAAATTAGAGCTGATGATGAAGCTCTTCCCACACTGGGGACACTCATAGGGCCTCTCCCCTGTGTGGATGCGCCGGTGGATGATGAGGGTGAAGTTGTGCTTGAATCCCTTCCCGCACTCAGGGCAGTGGAAGGGCCTCTCATCTGTGTGAATCCACTGGTGGCGGAGGAGATGTGAGCTGGTCTGAAACCTCTTCCCACATGTGGTGCACTGGTAGGGCCTCTCCCCAGTGTGGAGGCGTTTGTGGGTCACAAGGTTGGATCTGTAGCTAAAGCCCTTCCCACATTCCCCACACTCATAGGCCCATTCCCCAGTGTGGATCATCTGGTGGCTGATCAGGTGGGAGCTCCTCCTGAAGCTCTTCCCACACTGCAAGCACTTGTGGGGCTTCTCCCCATCATGAAGCTGCTCATGGACCACCAGCTCTGAACTCTGGCTGAAGCTCTGTCCACCTTCCTGGCTCAGGGTGGCTCTTTCTTCTTCAGAGCACCCTGGGCTGGGTTTGCAGCCCCTCCTCATGGGGGATATATGAGGTTTTTCTTCCCTGTTGGATTCCTGTGTGTTAGAATCACTCAAAACAGCCTCTTTCACGAGGTTCTGCCATGCAGATTTTTCCTCCCTGGTCTCCATCCTCAGTTCCTTCCCTGAGGAAGGAAGGACAAGGACAGGATGGGATTTGGCTCCGTGCCAGAGGGAAGGGGAAGGAGATCCCCCCAGTGCATCCCCGGCAGGATGGCGTTGGCAGCAGGGTTGTCCTGCAGCTGGGGGCTGTGCTGGGCTGGGAGATGGAGCAGGAGAGAGGGGGAAATAGGAACTGACTTCCTCCTCACCTATCTGGGTGTCCCGGGGCTCCTTCCTCTTCCTCACAGCCTCCTTCTCCATCCAACCAAGGTTTGGGAATGGGAAATCCTGTTCTGGGAAGAAAACAAAGGGTGCACACATTGTCTTTTGTACTGGTTTGAAGGCAAACCTAGGGAGGGTCTAAACCAGAATTACAATTTAAAAGAAAACTAAGATCAAGGCAATGATACAGAAACACTGCCTTAAACTGACAGAGTCAGGATATAACCTGACACCCTGTTGTTCAGGGTGGTGGCAGCAGTGCCATTAAATGGTGGCTGCAGTCCTGTTGGAGTGATGAACGTGATTCTGTCAAAGCAGCGATCCTGTAGAAGGGTCTGGTCTTCCTGTGGAGGTCCAGTGGTGGTTCTGGAGCTCTTGTCCTCTGGGAATCCAGTAGGCAAGCTGCTCCTGGTGTAGCAAAGTGTCAGCTTATATCCAGGTAGGAATGCTTGGATCCTCCCCCTGGGCGGAGCATCCCACAATGGGAGGATGGAATTTTATCAGTCCTGCAGTGACACTCAATGGCCCATTCACAGAAGATGTCTCCCCTCACAGAAGATGTCTCCCCTGGAGGGCGTTATCAAGGGTGAGTCATGCAAGAGATAAAGAACACTGCCCCATCTGTTTATAGCAGTTGCTGAAGGTGGGGATTGAAAACATGCATTTGGTTACATCTTGCATGGCAACCTGAAACAGCGGGGTAATCCCTGCTCAGGGGGTGAACACCACCCCCCTTACCCAAACTGGCTCAGCTGTAAAACCCCCACCCTGGGAAAGCCACACAAACACCGGGGACAATGTCACACTTACCCTGCCCCAGGGGAGGGCTCTTTTTCCTCTCATTCCCTTCCTGTACCCCCTTTTCTATCCCATTTACTGTTCAATAAAATTCATTTTGGGTTTGGTCTCATTATCACCTTAATTGGGCCAGAGGAATCTCTCTAACACTTTTCTTAACCAGACTCACCAGACTGTGAAATTCTGTTGGCACAGTGAGTTTAGGCACTGTTCTCTGACCCCAGGTGCCTTTGGCAACAGCATGGTTCCCTCCTCTAAGGAGGTTGTGGTTCTCTCTGGAGGAACTCTTTGAAACTGGGCTGCAGCTTCCTCTGAGTGACTTATGGGAGAACTGATGAGGTAAATCGCCTTTGTGGGCCCGGAGTGTAAAGAAAATATTTTGTTGTCCTTCTATTACAGCGACCTGATGAAGGTCTTCAGGGTAAGAGAAGTGGACGAGAATCTTGGTTCATGATCAGAAGGCTGGATTTATTGATATATGATATATAATACATTATAACTATACTAAAAGGAATAAAGAGAAAAGTTGCAGAGGCTTGCTAAGCTAAGAATAGAAAGAAAAGAATGAATAACAAAGTTCTGTGTCCAGCAGAAAGCAAGGACCAACTCTCCCGTGAGTGGTCAGCAAATCCAAACACTCACAGAAGACCAATCACAGATGCTCCTGTTACATTCCACATCAGCAGATAATTATTGTTTGCATTTTTCTTCTGGGGCCCCAGCTTCCCAGAAAGGACAAATCCTAAAAGAGAGGATTTTATGAAAAATGTCTGTGACATCCTTCCTTGAAATGTTTTTTAAAATCACAGGAGGAAAGGGAGCAAATGATACCAGCGAGACTGACAAGGTTCATTCACCCCATGGTGAGGAACACAAGGCTGCTAAAAGTCCTACAAGAAGCTCAGCTCAAGTAGCTAAATTCCCAAATAACTCCTGAATTCCCAGGCTTGAGTGCTTTGTGAAATGTGAGAGTCATTTTTCGCTTCATCCCTGTCACCTTTGTGACAGCTACAAAGAGTTTACTTTCCTTTTAATGACATCTGTATTGGGCTGAATTTACACTTTTATCAGAATGTGCTAGCAGCTGAGCTGGAGCTGTGCAGGAACCAGTGGAACTTGGAATTGCCACAAAATTGCTTGTACTGTCAGTTTATTAATGTTTGTGATTTGTTTGTCATCACATCTGACTTGTGGGAAAATCAAATATTCATCAAAGTGATTTATGCAGAGTCAAGTTTGATTTCTGCCAAATTATTTTTCACAGTGCCCAGGGGATGCTTGAGGGGTCTCTGTGCCTCTCGCCCTGGGGGATGCTTGGCAGGGATTTGGGGGGGTTGTCCCTGTCCCTGTCACCCCAGGCCATTGCCCAGGGGCTGTCCCTGTCCCTGTCACCCCAGGCCATTGCGTAGGGGGTCTCCATCATTTTCACCCCAGGGAATGCCTGGGGGGTTTCCCTCCCTCTCACCCCTGTGCCAGGGGGTGCTCGGGGCAGTCTCTGTCCCTTTCAGCGCAGGGGATGCTCGGGGGTCTCTGTCCCCTCACCCTGGGGGATGCTTGGGGGGTCTCCTTCCCTCTGGCCTCAGGCAATGCCTGTGCAGGGCTGGGGACCAGGGGCTCTGTGTCCCTCTCACCGCTGAGGGTGCTCAGGGCTGGGGGACTCTCCGACCTTCTCACACCTGCGGAGGTCAGGGGGGGTCTCTGTCCCTCTCAGCCCTGCTGCGACCCCACCCAAACATCATCGGGGTCAGAGGGACAGAGACACCCCCAAACCCCCAGAAGGGCTGAACCTGGGATTTGGTTTGGGGCTGAGGATTTAGGAAGGGGCTGGAATTGGGGCTGGGCTTGCAGTTGGGGCTGAGGTTTGGATTAGAGCTGGGATTGGGGTTAAGGCTGGACATGGGATTGGCTTTATGGCTGGGGTTGGGATTGAGTCTGGGGCTAGACAAGTCTGGCACTGGGATGAGATTAAATACAGAACTGTGAGTGTGTCTATACGTGGAGTGAGATTGAGACCAGGATCAGGGTCAGGTTTGGGACTGAGCTCACCCAGGGCAGGACAGGGAGGATGTCACTGCAGGATGTCCCTGGCGTAGTTCCAGCCCTCCTCAGGCACCTCCAAACATGGGGAGCAGCTGGGTGCCCCAAGATCCAGGTGCTCGCACGCTGCTACTCAATACCAGGTGAGCATTTCCTGAGGGCAGCCCTGACTGTGACCCTTGGGGCTCTGGGATCAGCCCTCACATCCCTGTGGGAGCAGCAGCAGACAGGATGAGAGATTCCCCCGCCCCGTTTTTCCTGTGGAAGGGTGAAGTCCAGCTGCCCTTTTCTTCTGGTGCCTCCTCCTCTCCTCAGCTGAGGATGTCAAACACCCCATGAGCAGGAAAATCCCCATTCCCTCTTTCCTTGTGGCTGCAGCCTGGAACATCCACCCAGAATGAAGGACTTTCTGACAGCCCTGCTGAATGACACTGGCAAGAGGTTTGTGAGAAGGGGAAGAAATTGTATTTTGATAGTAAATAAACGGTGCAAAATTATTTCTTTCTGTTATATTCCTTTTCAGTCAGTTTTGGTCTGTTTTCAGAGTGCCACCTTCTCAGCTGACTGTGTTTGTGCCCTCCTTTCTCTCCTGCCTCTCTTTGTCTGCTCTGTTTCTCTCTCAGTGTCTCCCTTCACTCAGGGCAGCTCACACCAAAGACCGTGCCCGGATTTAATTCCCAATTCAGGAGCTACAACAACCATGGGGGAAGTTATGAAGGCTCACAGTGAAATGCCACTGTAAGATCTTGCTCCACTTGGCTTTTGGCTCCTTCTTGACAGCTTTGCCCTCAAGGGCAGGAACATCTTTTCATAGCGGAGAACTGGAATTCCAGACCCTGGCAGTGTGTGCCGTGGATCCCAGAGGGGCATTCCCGAGGCTGCCAGGGTGCTGCTCCTGCCGTGCCTCCCAAGGAGCTTCTCTCCCAAGGGGAGAAGATCCAGCAGCTCTGTGGGCTCCCAGAGCACACAGCAAAGGTGGCTTTGATGGAAATTTTCCAGGGACTGGGGTGGGAAGGGACCCTGTCCATGGATTACGACCCCGCGAGGGACAGACGCCTCTGCCCGAGTGAAGGAGCGAATGAGAGCGTGGGAACGCAACCGACGATTATTGAACGTGGACTGAACGGAACAAGAAATGGGGAGGAGAAAGGGAGAGAAAGAAATCCGGAAGAGGTCTCAGAGAACATAAAGAAATGGGAAAAGGTTCCCGCCTGGACTCCGCAGCTCCCAGGGACACCCGCCGGGCGTAGCGCCTTTTCCAATTCCAGGCAATCAGAGGACGCGGTAAACAATTTCCATCCAACCAGAGCTTTTCTCTTCGATGACTCACCGGTTGCCAGGCGGGCCCGCAGAGCTGGCGGCCCCGGAGCGGAATTTGGGGCTCGGGCCGGGGGACGGATCCGCCCCGGGGGGGTCCCCGAGCCCCCTGCCCAGCCCTGGGGCCGATCGGGGGCTCCCCCACCCAGCAGCCGGTGCTGCGGGGCCGCGGGACAGAGCGGTGGGAAAGGGGGGTCCGGGCTGGCAGCGGAGGAAATGCGGGAGGAAGAGGAGGGAGAAGAGGAGCAGGAGCGGGAGCGGGAGAATCGCGGCGCTCGCAGCGCCCGCACGCCGAGCATCGCCCCAGCCCCGAGCCGCAGGGGAGGGCGGAGGCCGAGCTCGCCCCGGCTCCAGCCAGGGGTGTCTCCAAGAGG